GGGGGGGTTAGTGTCTTGGATCCGAGTGGTGCAACGCAGATGGAGAGAAGCAGCCCTGCCAGGGAGCCAGCTGTGAGGACAGAAGGGTCAGGGGTAGTTCCTAGGGTTTGTCTTGACCCCTGAGGTACCATGTTTGTACTGCCTACGGAGATGGAGAGTAAAACACAGCCAGAGTTCTGTGTGTATAAGTCAAGTCTGAGATGCCTATTAGACAGCCAAGTGGAAATGACAAAGCAGCAGCTAGCTCTGGGCCTCCTTCTCAGGGAGTCCAGGCTGGAGGTGAGACTGGGAGTTATCTGTGCCCGGGGAGCATTAAGGCATGGGCCCATGTTCTAGGGAGAGTCCTGGAAAGAAGAAATGTAGGCCCAGGACAGTCACCGGAGTGTCCAGAGAAGTGACCAAGAGGAGAAAGAAAATCAAGGCATGATGTTACGGGAGTGAAGGGAGGAGAGTCTCGAGTCATCTCTGTAGGATGCTGTGGAGACGTCCAGGGAGATGCGGAGAGAAACGTCCTTGGGTTTGGCCACATGGGGCTATAAGAGACTCCAACAAAGCAGTCGGTACGGAGCAATGAGGCAGGGAAGGGCTTGCAGTGTGCTGAACAGGGAAAGACAGTCAAGGAAGCAGGAAAGAAGGGCATGTAGACGTCACAGGGACCCAGGGCAGTGGCTAGAGCCGGGCATGGTTGCGGAAGCAACTGGCAGAGATGCACAACTATAATATTTGTCCACTCCAGCGTGGGAGAAAACGGTGGGGCGGGAGCAAGAGGGAACACTGAAGTCCCCGCGGAAGAGAAGAGATGGGGATGCAGAGCACAAACAGAGGGACCGGCATGTACTTGGACAGGGACCCTCCTTCCAGCACAACAAGGAGCAGCGGGCGGGTATGTGGACTTGCGGTGGGCAAGGGAGGGTTCTCAGTTTCTCCGTGAAGTATGTAGTGACGTCATGAGCTGAGATCGAGGATGTGAGTGTGGGTGTACACACAGGAAGTCGGGAGATGGAGAAGAGGGTGTCAAAGTCGTCTTGGAGACTCAGAAAACAAATGACCGGCAAGGGCCCCTGTCTCGCAGGGCTGATGCCCATTCGAGGCCTGTGGTCATGAACCAGCTGCACAACCAGTGGCTGCAATATGAGGGTCCGTCCAGCCACGTGTGGTTGTGCGGGCGTGGCCAAACATGGCTCAGGTCAAGCAGGCTCAGAAGTTACTGAGTCAGGCAAACGTGGCAGAGGGGGAGGGGAGCAACACCGCTGGGGGGTGGGTACTGCAAGGGGACAATTCCAACGAAGGGCCATGGCACTTCGGCTGGGGAGGGAGGGAATCCTGTTGGCAACGGCATGGTGGGTCATGGCTCTGGAGCCCTCAGTGGTATGTAAGCTGTTGTCACAGGTAAGAGGAGGGAATGTGGTGGCTGAGCTTGGAGGTGGTCCATTTGCTGGAATGAGGAGGCCTAAGGCATGCCTGCAGAAGTGGGTGGTCACTCACCCAGTGGGGGAGAGAAGCACCCCGGGAGTGGAACAGCAGCGGGGGGACCAGATGGGCATCGACTGTAGGTATGCTAACGTCCCCAAGAAACAATTAGAGGAGCATCGTGAGCCTGGGAACTAGGAGCTCATATCATGAGTCCAGGAGGAAAGTTGACCAAGACACTGGTGGTGAGTGGTCCAGTCAGCCTCCAAGGAGCCGCAAAGAGGCAAGTCATGGAAGCTCAGCCCCCACTTGAGAAGGCTGCAGGGAAGGCTGTGTGAGCCCAGGGACATTTCAGACCAGGAAGGGGGGCGGTGCTCAGAGAAGAGGAGGAAGGGAGTTGCTGCAGCTGTATTTGTGCCCAGAGGACACAGGGTGAGGGAGGGCTGGGGCAGGCAGGGTGGGGTGGGCTCTCCTGGACAATGTCGTTTCTGGTCTGTATCCTGCAGCCTGGCTCGTCTCCATTTATAAAGGCCCACGGGCAGGTCCACACTGCAGAAGCCCAGCTGGCTTCTTGAGAACGTTCTACCAAAGATGTTGGTGGACCAACATCTCGGGGAAAGAATGGTTAATTCAGAGAAAGCAGAAGAAAACTGGAACAAAGAATGAGAACAGCCAGCAAGAGAGGAGATGAGGACTAACTCTGAGGAAATGGTGGGGGAAGGGCCAGTTAAGAGGAACACTTAGAATGTTGTGTAACATATGGCAGGTGGTCAGTTTTTTACTTTTATTTTTATTTATTTATTTTTAAAAGACTTATTTATTTGAGAGAGAGCGAGAGAGTGTGCACAAGCGGGGGGAGGGGCAGAAAGTGAGGGAGAAGCAGACTCCCTGCCAAGCAGGGAGCCGACACGGGGCTCGATCCCAGCACCCTGGGAGCATGACCTGGGCCAAAGCAGATGCCCAACTGACTGAGCCACCCAGGTGCCCCGTGGTCAGTTTTTTTTAAATAAAAAATCAAAACATTTGAGGCTGTGAAAGAAAACAATGGGTCCTAAGGCATATCTAAAAAGAAGATGCTATGACATATGGGTCGCACTCCCTGTTTAATTGCTTTGTGTCAGGCCCCCCACCACGTGGACACATGGCACAGCAACAACCCCGATCAGAAGCAGCAGAGTCCCGACCAGGCTGGGTCTGAGGTGCTTGCAGGCTGCATGGGCTCCTCTCCTCAGGAAATGAGAAGTCGGTCTCAAACTCCAAAGCCACAAGGAGTCTGGTCCAGGGGATTCGTCACTCTCATTTGCTATTTGAAGAGCTGCAGTCAGCTCTAAATTATACTCTGCTTATCCTAACCTATGCCATGACATAAATGGGTGAGGACAGCCTATCTGTATCAAGGACATTCATTGCAACCATTCAACTCTTGCTATCATTTTTCCACTGGGTTAAATTCTGATAAAGACCAAAATTCTGATAGAGATCATTTTGGTCTTTATCGGAATTTAGTCCAGTCGAAATGAGAGCAAGACACTAAAGATTCCTCTCTTAGTGAAGAACATGAGAAGGAAGTACAATCGTTCCCTCATTTCAAGAAAACCATTGTCACACTCCACGTTCACTGCAGCATTATTTAGAAGAGCCAAGACGTGGACACACCTAAGTGTCCATCAACGGATAAACGGCTACAGAAAATGTGATCTATGATGGAATATTACTCAGCCATAAAAAAGAAGGAAATCCTGCCATTTGTTACAATATGGTTGAACCTGGAGGGCATTAAGCTAAGTGAAATAAGCCAAACAGAGAAAGATAGGTACTACATGATCTCACTTACATGTGCAATCTGAAAGAAACAGAACAGACTGGTGGTTGCCAGAGGTGGGGGGGTGGGGAAAGTGGGTGAAGGGGCTCAAAAGGCACAAACTTCTAGTTATAACTAAGTCCTGGGGATATAATGTACAGCATGGTGACTGCAGTTTAATACTGTATTGTATATCTGAAAGTTGCTAAGAGAGTAGGTCTTGAAAGTTCTCATCACAAGAAGAAAAATTTGTAGCTATGTGGGGTGAGGGATGTTAACTAGCCTTACTGTGGCAATCATTTTGCAATATACACATATATCCAATCATTATGTTGTATGCCTAAAAGGAATACAATGTTATATGTTAATTATATGGCTGGGTGTTCACCTCTGCACGTTCCCCACAGCCACTCAAGAAAAAAGGAATGAATGAGTTCACTTCATTTGCAAATGGCACACGAATGTGGTTAGGTAGAGAATGATTCTTATCAAATGGTATTAAAATGAAGTAAATAAAAAATTAATCTGATGGAACATTAAAAGCTGGAAAGATCGCTCTCTGGCCCATGATTTAGATGAAAGAAAGTGATCTCAGCACAAATACGTTTGACATAAGTATTATTCCCAATTCTAACCCCACCACCAGCTCAGAGAAATCCCTTAAGCTTTCGGTACTAGAGTCTCCACAAGAGAAATTAGGTGTGAGGTCACATTTATGCACATCACTGCATGTATGTCAGATGGGTTAAGAAAACGAGGGACAAGAGAGAGAAAAAGACCACACTTGAAAGTCTATGAACCTTCTCTCTCTTTTCTAAGGGGGGGTATTTTGTTTTGTTGTGTTAAAAAACACATACCATTAAATTTACCATCTTAATCATTTTTAAGTGTACAGTATAATAGTGTTAGGTACATTATTGTGCAACAGATCTCTAGATCCTTTTTGTTGTACAAAACTGAAACTCTAACCCCTTGAATACTTATGAACCTTTGCTCATGAGGCTCAGGTGGGGTCCTGGGCTCTGAACCCACGAGGTAAATATCCTCAACTTTGGAAAAGAGAGAGATGTGGTATGGGCAGAGTGGTGGCGGTCCCTTCTTTTTTCTCACGCACTTAAAGGCTGGCCCTAAAGAAACAAGATCACAGCCAGTGGATAGTTTAACCAAAAATTCAAGTGTGTTTGCGCACTCACACGGACAACACACGTTGTGTTCAGCTCTGGGTAAATTCATTGCCATCACCATCTGACAAGAAGCTGTCTCTTATAAGATCTTAGTAGACAGCAACAAAAACAAAACAAAAGTTACTGTCACTTCTCTTTTTCTTTTTTTTTTTTTTAAGATTGTATTTATTTGTGAGAGAGAGAATGAGAGACAGAGAGCATGAGAGGGAGGAGGGTCAGAGGGAGAAGCAGACTCCCTGCCGAGCAGGGAGCCCGATGCAGGACTCGATCCTGGGACTCAGGATCATGACCTGAGCCGAAGGCAGTCGCTTAACCGACTGAGCCACCCAGGCGCCCCACTTCTCTTTTTCAATATTCAACATACCTTGGAATCCTGAGACTATTTGGACAACATCTTCATACACCATTAGAGTGGCGGATCGTTCTGGAAGCAGGCCCAGGCTCAGTGAAGAAAATACTGCAGAAACAAAAATGGACATAAGGGAATTCTGAAATTTAAATAAAAACGCCCACTCTAATTTTTGGGGCACACCGCATTCTTTGTATTGTCTGATTTCAAATCAATCAACAATACTGATTTTTAGTATTGTGACATAATAAAATATATAATATTATTTAGTGTCTGACCCTGGTTCCTGACACAGAGCACCTAACTCCCTTGTAATTTCCTGGGTGTTAGGAGGATTTTTTTGTTCTAACGAGGCGACTCTGGGTGGGCTCCTGGATGGGGGCTGGTCACCAGAAAGCTGTAATTAGAAGCTTGGAACTTTCAGCCCCACCCCTCCACCTCCAGGGAGGGGAGAGGGGTGAGAAATTAAATTCATAATCAATCTTGCCTACATAATGAAACCTCCATGAAAATTCCAAAAGTACAGGGTTTGGGGAGTTTCCAGATTGGTGAATGCATCTACGTGCCAGGGGGGTGGGACACCTCAACTCCCAGGGACAGAAGCTGCCGTGTTCAGGACCCTTCCAGACCTCGTCTGTGTATCTCTTCCTCTGGGTGTTCATCTGTATCCTTTATGATATCCCTTATAATAAGTTGGCAAATGTAAATAAATGTTTCCCTGAGTTCTTGAGCCATTATAGCAAATTACTGAACCTGAGAAAGGGTCGTAGGCGCCCAATTTGGAGCCAGTTGCCCGAAGCACAGGTGGTGACATGCTAGGAGTTGTGTGTGAGTGGGGGGGGCAGTCTCGTGGGACTGAGCCCTTCACCTGGGGGTCTGCGCTGACTCTGGGTAATGCTAGAATTGAACTGAACTGTAGGACACCCCATTGGTGTCCAGAGAGTTGGAGAATTGGTTGGTTTGAGAAAAAGCCCCATTCATTTGTGTCAGCAGTGTTGTGAGTAGAGAGAAAGGAAACATTTTTTGTTTAAGTCTGATTAGCAAGACTTTCTGGATGCTACGAGAATGCCACAATCTCTCCTATAACAACTGCTCACGCTACAACAGTCAACTAGTTTTTATTTGCCTAGAAGTTTTTAGTAAAGTATCTGAGTCTCTTCACATTAGGAACATACTACACATTATATGAATGTAAAATATATAAAGTTAGATATTAACGTTAAAAAAAGACTTTAAAAACATGTGCTCGGGTTAACAAATGACACATGACAGAAGAACATGCCCCCGTATTCCGGAAACTAGTAAGATGACAGCACTCGTGCTGTTTTTAAAATTCTTGCTTAAGTACCTAGACTTTCAACTAAAAAATTCACAAAGCCTGCATGTTTCTGGGGAGAACATGAATCGAAGAGAAAACAAATAAATGTATTATGGAAAAATAATGCTCACTAAGTCACTGAACCCTTAGTAACATGTCAGACATTATTCTAAGTGCTTTAAATTTGGTGATTTATTTAAATCTCAAAACAACTCTATGGCGGTACCTGGGTGGCGCTGTTGGCTAAGCCTCCAACTCTTGGTTTTGGTCCAGGTCATGATCTCAGGGTCGTGGGATGGAGCCCCCCTGTTGGGCTCCATGCTCAAGAGTCTGCTTGAGATTCTTTCTCTCCCTCTTTGTCCCTCCCTCTGCTCACGCATGTGCGTGCATGCACGCACGCACACTCTCTCAAATAAGTAAATAAATCTTAAAAAAAATCCAACTCTATGAAATAGATATTATTAACGTGTCCATTTGACAGGTAAGGAAACAGGCTTATAGGTAAGGAATTAACTTGTGCAAGATCCCACAGCTGGTAAATACTGGAGCTAGGACTTAACTCTGGAGTCTCTTCTCAACTGCTATGCTACACAGACTCAAATTCAAAGACCCACTGGGCTTTATCCAGTCCAAGTTTAAAGATGAGGAAAGCAAGGTCTAGAGAGGTAAACTGACTTTCTGGGAAAATATCGGGGACCAGAAATATCAAGTGCTAAGAATATCTGTTAGCACTACTGGCTCTTAATAGTGCCCGGAGGGGACCAGTGAGCTGGCCTTGGACATGACCTCTCTTTTCATATCCCCTCTACAGTCAACTTACGGAGCTGCCATTATATACAAGGCCCAGTGCTTGAAGCGTGGAACAGATCAGTGCTGGAGGCAATCTGGGCCTGCGAGGTTCTAATCAGAAAGGGCCTGGGGCACACAACAAGTGGAAGGTGGTCATTGCCATGAGCAACGTAAGAAGGCACCTCGGTGCTGTGGAAATAATCTGGTGGTTCCTCAAAATATATCACACACAGAGTTACCATCTGATCCAGCAATTCCACTTCTAGGTAGAGACCCAAGAGAACTGAGAATGTATATTCACACAATAACATATAAGTCAATGTTCATGGCAAAAAATGGAAACAACCCAATATCCACCAACCAATGAGCAGATAAACAAAATGAGGTCCATCCATACAATGGAACATCATTCATTCATAAAAAAGGAAAAAATACTGATTCAGGCTATAATACGGATGCACCATGAAAGCGCTACGCAAAGTAAAAGATGCCAGACACAGAAGGCTCCATATTACAGAATTCCATTTATCTGCAATGTTCAGAATAGGCCAACCACAGAGACAGAGAGGAGATTGGTGGTTGCCAGGGCCTGGGGGTCATGGGGGGTACAGAAAATATTCTGGAATTAGTTAGTGGTGATGGTTGTGTAATTTTGTGAACTGCACACTTCAAAATGGTGAACTTAATGGTATATGAATTATAATTTTAAATACAAAAACAAAAACAAAAAGAATAAGAAAAAAAAGAATTCATCTTAGGAGTTCAAAATTGGGAGAAAAGTCACTTCAGGTTGGGGGAGGGAGGGTCAGGGAATTCGTGTGAGCCAGGATTAAAGCAGGGAGACCTACCTTGGATAAATCCTTCGTAACTACTTCAAAGGGACACTTAACCTTCTTTAACAATGACCCCTTCATCCAACAGCACTGGGTCTCCAGTGGCCCAGAAGAAAGGGTCACTGTAGCGATGCTGCCTTCACGAACACCCTGTCCCATCAGAGAGCTCACACACATCCCAAGTGGCACTTCCTGGGCCCTGAAAAGCTCTGTGCCGACCGCTGTGGGGAACTCTGAGCTCTGAAGTCACCTGTGATCAGTCTCTCGAGATTTGTGTGACCACCGCAGGGTGTTCTGTGAACATCTCTTAACTGAAAACATTTGGTACTTCCATACATAAGGCATCCGCTCTAGCAGACGTTCTAAAGCCTTATATCCTGGAGAGAAAAATGACCTCTCATGATGAGTGGGCTGAGAGGCACCACAGGAGCTTCCTGGAGCAGGAGAGAAGGGACTGAATGCCCCAAGGGGTGTGGGAGGGGGGCGCAGAGAGACCCCAGACCCCCATCACAGGGGGGATGCTGGCTGATGTCTGGAGGTTCTTGTCCTCCCGGGCAGATGTTTATGTTTTGGTAAGTAGAGAGAAAGGAATGTCGAACTCCACCTGCGAAAGTCAGGAAGACTGCATGGAGCAGCGAACAGCCAGGCTGGGCATGGAACACCCAAGACAAACTCGCCAAGAGAGCATCGGTCAAGGAGTAACCGTGCGGACAAACAGAGCGGGCGACGTGTCAGCTTCATCAAGGGAACAACAAATTGCCCAGGCATCTAGACCATGAGATACATAAGGAAGAAGGGACTAGGGAAGGAGGGTCTAAACTTTATCCTGGGGACACTGAAGCCCTTCACGCAGACGTGTAACATAATTATATATATACATATACATATAATATATGTATATATACATATACGTATATATACACGTAGGAACATATTTTTAAGACACGGATGCTCACTGAATATAGAAGGTGGTTTGAAGGGGCAGATGGACCGAGCTGGAGGTGGCTGCAACAGGCCTGGTAGAGCGATAACTATGGAGATGGGCCTAATTAAGAGGTGGACTTACAGTCTTTCACTGATGGACTGCATTTTCCATAAGTGAATTTGTTTTACCTGTTTGCCAAGGGTAAAGGGTACTCTCCTTATGCTGGGCGTCCCCCTCTCCAATCTATACCTCCTTCCTTGAAAGGGCAAAACCAATACATTCTCCAGGAAAGACTGTCAAGGACGAAAAAAGAAATCCATTCCAAAATCTCTGAAGAATGCCAACAAAACCATGTGCGCACGTGTAGAGAAGAAAACATTTTCTAGTTTCGAATTGTCACATTTTAGGAGAGGCTCCCAGCTTTTCTCTGTTCCTTGTCCAGTTATCTGCAGTACCAACAGTATTTTCTTGACCTCCAAAAGCAAGCATGGAAACAGTAGTTTACTCTGCCTTTCATAATAGGCAAGTCCAAGGTTTGGTCACCTTTTCTGTCAGATTCTAGTTAAGAGTATCTTGATTATATTAACGAGGCAAACAGAGAAAAATAATCAAAGACATGGGTGGATCCTTGAAAATTATTCAGTCTAATTAATTTAGTTTTAGAAATGAGAAATGTGGGCTTGGAAAGCCGTGATGGGCCCCCGTGTGGGGGGGCAGCCGGGGGTGGGTGGGGCAAGAACCCAGGGGTCTTCATGCTTAGTCCCAAACCCTTCCAATTAAACCACATCGTTTCCATTTTTGACTCATTTAAGAAAATGGATATTATGGAAACGGTTGCTTTTTCTCAAATGATCATGTTTACAAAGTCAAAACGAATGTAATTACAGTACACTGAACCCTCATTATTCGTGGATTCAGTGTTTGCGAATGCGCCTCCTTGCTAAAATTCATTTGTGATCCCACAGTCAATCCTCACGATGCTTTATATGTGCAAGTACAGAGCGGTCAAAAATTTGAGGCCCGGATGCACATATTGCCAGCTGAGGTCAAACAAGGCGACACTCTGCCTTTTCCCTTCAGATCACATACTGTAAGTGCCAGGTTTTTCACATTCCTGTGCTTCTTTTTGGTGATTTCGCTGTTTAAAACGGCCGCCAGGCCTAGGGCTGCCATTCCTAACTGCAGGAAGGCTGGGAGGTGCTTATGGGAAAAATATATGTTAGATAAGCTTTGTTCAACCAGGAGTTACGGAGCTGTTGGCCATGAGTTCCATGTTCATGAACCAGGAGTATATTATTAAATCAAGTGTCTTTTTTTTTTTTTTTTACAAGCTTTTTAAATTTATTTATTTGAGAGAGAGAGCACAAATGGGGGGAGGAACAGAGGGAGAGGGAGAAGCAGACTCCCCACTGAGCAGGGAGCCCAATGCAGGCTCGATCCCAGATCTCCCAGGACCCCGAGATCATGACCTGAGCCGAAGGCAGACGCTTAAATTGTTGAGCCACCCATGTGCCCCTAAATCATGTGTCTTTAAATACCCCAAAACACACATAAACCAAGGTGATGTATTGCTTGGCTGATGAAAATGTTATGACAGGAAGCTCCTAGGACCCTAATCCTGAATTTCCCTTGAAAGCCATGGCTCAGTATTGTCTACCCCAGGGTGCATGGTGACTTTATAGAACATACTGATAGTTTGTGCGGGGGCTCTCCCAGCAAAGGTGGAGTTGTGGTGTCCAGCTACCATTTAAACTTCCCTGGGTTGTTTCCAGTGATTTCTCGGTGTGAAAAATGGAGGCAGTCAAACATTTTCTTCATATATAACCTAATAAAGATCATCTTCCTATTTTGTGGGCTTTCTGAGGATTCTGTCCCAGGTCTGCCCCCCATGCTTTGGTGAGTTCATAGTTTTGAACCCAACAATGCTAATGAGTTCATGGTTCTTATCTCAACAATGCTAATGACCCCCAAACCACACTTCTACCTCCAAACCCCCCAAGCCTTCAAATCACTTCAAACTACAGGCTGAACACACTTGTGTCCCAGAGGCAGCTCAAAACCAGTGTCCCCTCCACTAAACTCACCTTCAATGATGACCCCCAACACTCATTCATGCCCTCCCATCCTCCACCTCCGCTAGCACCTGCATCCCCCTCTGCCTGAGCCCCGAGCCTGGGGAGAGGATGCACAGGGGAGTGGGGAAGCAGAAGGGGGCTTCTTTTAACCCACTGCATCAACTGAGTCAACTTTAGGGAACCATGAAGTAGTGGGTCTCCCAACCCTATTGACCATCTGTTCCATCCGCTCTGTCACCAGCTAGAAACCCGAGATTCAACTTACATTTCTTCTGTTTTGTCCTTTCCCTTAACGCTCGTCACCTGTTCCCAGAGACATTCTGCATTTTGTCTGCTAAACATTTCTCATGGTTTATCCCCTTTTCTCTAAGATTTTTCCAGAAGATCTCCTCAGTTGTACCTATATCAAATCCACTTCCCATAGTTCACAAAGCAGTGGTCTCCAACTTTAGTGAATGCTTTTATCCGTAAGTGGAGTGTGTGTGTGTGTGTGTGTGTGTGTTGTGGGGCGGGGGGGAGGTTCTTGGTAAATTGCAGACTTCTGGATCAATCCCCAGACTGAAAGGATGAGTCCTGAAATCTGTGTTTTTTACAAGCACCTCTTCTTTTTTTTTTTTTAAGATTTATTTATTTATTTGAGAGAGAGAGAGAGAGCATACAAACACGGCGGGGGGGTGGGGGGTGCAGGGTGTAGGGACAGAGAGAGAAACTTTAGCAGACTTCCACAGTCAGTGCAGAGACTGATGCGGGCCTCGATCCAAGGACCCTGAGATCACGACCTGAGCCGAAACCGAGAGTCAGATGCTTAACCGACTGTGCCACCCAAGTGCCCCTTACAAGCACCTTCTAATGCTAATATCTATTCATCCTCCAGACTCCGCTCCCCTCCCACCTCCTCCAGGAAGCCTTTATTCCCTCACCTAGGCTGAACCTTCCCTGCTCCAGCATTCCCTATGCATATATACGCGTGAACATACCCATGAGACGGGAATGGCTTTGGTGGCTGACTACGTAACTCCCGGACTAAGTTACAAACTCCCCAGGGGCAAGCTCTGTGTCTCTAGATCTCTATTCTCAGTGGCTAGGGCAGCGCCTGGCGCATAATAGGTACTTAATAAATGTAAATAGAACTAAAGAGAATTTTGTGACTGAGGGTAGACGCCAGGGCTTTATGAGGCAGGTATAGCCACACTTGGCTCCCATGTGTCCCCAGAGGCAGCGGGGACCCTGACGGAGTGTGTCTAGTGGTGCAGTGGCACAGAGTTGAACACTGACATTGGTATTTTGCCAGCCACTGTGCTATTCATTGAGCCCCTACTGTGCTTTAGGCACTGAAAGGTCGTTTATATATGTTAACTGCTCTGCAATCAGAACAACTCTACCAGGTGGTATGAGCTCCATTCTACAGAGATTGGCAAGGAAGCTAGAGGGGCTCAAGCACAGACTGGGTGCCAGAACCAGGGCAGCCTGTTTCCAAACTCCACCCTGGCAGCGTCTCCCTCCAGCCCTCAGCCCCTCCTTGTCCCTAATCTTGGTGCTAACAGATAATGTGGTCCAGGTGCTAGCGGGAGCCAGAGGTGAGGGGACAGAAGAGGGGCCACGTCCAACTCCCCACCTACCCCATCCCTGAATCTGTGTCAGGCACCATGCTTGCCCCTGTGGGAGACCAGCGTTGTGAAGGGGTGAATGGTGACTTAATCCTGTGATTTATAGTAAGAAATACGTATCTGGTCTTGGTCCTGTTTCTAGACCACAGCTCCTAAACCCATGGCATTTCCTAAGTGATAAGTGCCATAAAGGTGACTTGTATTACTCATAACATGTCTCTTTCAATGTGGGTTTAGCTAATGAGGCGGCTTTTGGAAAGCCCCTAGATGACCTAAGGGTGGTGGCTGGTTGGCAGGAGAACCAACCAAGTGGAACTTTCAGCCTCACTCCCTTGACCAGGGGGAGGGGAGAGGGGCTGGAGGTCCAGTCAATCACCAGTGGCCAATGAGTTCATCAGTCCTGATTATGTCGTGAAGCCTCCATACAAACCCAATAGGATGAGGTTAGAGAGCTTCTGGGCAGCTATACGCATGGGGTTGCTGGGAGGGTGGTACGCCCAGAGAAGGCGTGGAGGTGCGGTGCCCCTTCCTACACCCCTTGCCTATACGATCTCCTCCATCTGGCTGTTCCTTCAATACCTTTGTAATGAACCAGTGATCTAGAAAGTAAACTGTGTTCAAAACAAAAACCAAAAAAACCCACAGGCCCAAAATGGCGTCACTCAGGCCGAATCACCAAACTGGAACTTAATACCTCACCTAACCTAAATACGGTTTTAACTGGGTCAGTCAGGAATTTTTTTGATCAGCATCAATGAGGTAATCTGTCACATGGGCCCTCTCCACTCTCCCTCAAAAGATAAGGTGACCCACCTAGTAAGATCCCTGCCCTTCCCCATAAGGAAAAGTGACCTTGCCTGAAACAATCCTTTCTTTTCTTTTGCTAATAACTCCTCACCCCACCTTCCTTCCTATAAAATCTTCCCTTTTGTGCAACTCCTTGAAGCTCCCCTCTACTTCTGAGATGGATGCTGCCTGATTTACGAATCACTTAAATAAAGCCAAACAGACTTCAAATTTACTTGGTTGACTTTTGTTTTTTTAACGACTGTTTCCCTGACTTCTGAGAGCCACTGCGGCCACCGAGTCGAACCTGAGGAGGGGGTTGGGGGACCTCTGATTTATAGCCAGTGGGTCAGAAGCCCAGGGGACAACGTGGACTTGTGATTGGTGTCTGACGTGGGGTGGGGGCAGTCATGTGGGACTGAGCCCTTCACCTGTGGGATCTGATGCTGTCTCCAGGTGGATAGTGGATAGTGCCAGAATGGAGTTAAATTGTAGGGCACCCAGCTGGCATCCGAGAATCTGAGAAATGCTTGGGAAAATACCCAGCATGTTGGGTGATTAGAAGCGCCGAAGTGTGGAAGAGTATTGAGGAAACACACAGGAGTGGGTTTTCCCTTAGCAGGTGAGAAGGGGGAGAGAGAAAGACAGCGTTCCCATCACCCCCTGCCTCTTTGGCCAGTGTTCTGTCAGGCCCCATGAAGCAGAACAAGGAAGCTCCGTTCCAGAGCATGGCCCCAGCGCCATCCTACCAGTTGGAATCAAAAAGGTACAAAGGAGGAGGGGCGCCTGGGTGGCTCAGTTGTTAAGCGACTGCCTTCGGCTCAGGTCATGATCCTGGAGTCCCGGGATCGAGTCCCGCATCGGGCTCCCTGCTGTCAGCAGGGAGTCTGCTTCTCCCTCTGACCCTCCCCCTCATGCTCTCTCTCTCTATCTCATTCTCTCTCTCAAATAAATAAAATCTTAAAAAAAAAAAGGTACAAAGGAGGATGCTGGGGAAATGGGCAGAAACTCTAAGGCTTTTGATTCTGGTGTGTGTGTAAACCGAGGGAGAGCCCCCACCTGCTTCATACAGGACCCCACCTATCCTTCCCATAAGAAGCCCCCAAAAGTAGGGGCGCCTGAGTGGCTCAGTCGGTGAAGCGTCTGCCTTCAGTTCAGGTCGTGATCCCGGGGTCCTGGGATAGAGCCCCGTATCGGGCTCCCTGCTTCCCGGGGAGCCTGCTTCTCCCTCTGCCTGCCACTCCCCCTGCTTGTGCACTTGTTCTCTCTCTCTGGCAAATAAATAATAAAATCTCAAAAAAAAAAAGAAGTCCCCCAAAAGTAAAGCAGAGACTAAACCCCTATTTTTCTGATCACCTGCCTTCCACTCTTAAACCACTTCTGTGCCTGACTCCAGCACTAGCCATGAGCTCTGCTCCAGGGAAAGATTAGGACGGCCTTACCGGGTAATCGGATTGGCTTCCACGGGGCAGAGTTTGGCACGTAGGCGTGCTTCGTGGCGGTGACGATCAGCTGACTGCCCAGCTTATACGGGAACTTGATGAAGGCGACGCCATCTGTCCCCGAGGTGCCGGAAGCGATGGACACCTGGTTGGTGAAAATCTCGATGAGCGCATCTGTGACGGGCTGGTGGGTGCTGGCGTCACTGATGTGGACCTTCAGGGTCACCTCTGGAGTGAGGAAAAAGCAACAAAGAACAACTGCTATTACCTGGCCCACCTCAACAACAATTCTGCTGTCGCTGATGGGAGTGGAGAGGGGGCTGTGCTAAGTAAATCTAGATCTACATCCAGCATATGAATCGTTGGAATCAGGGAACATTTTCTTATTAGAGATTCCTTTTTACTTTACACAATTTAATTTCCTTTTTTTTCCCCCCAGAACCACTGCCCATCATAAACTGCCTTCCTCTTTGCTCCTCCCTGCTCACCCCAACAAATAACAGAGAATTCTATCCCTTTAAGACATTGTTGCAAACACAATACTCGTTTATCCTTCCCCGCATTGCTGGCACACGTGGCCCAAACAGGGCTGGGGCGGCTACTGAAGGACCCTGCAGGCTGAAAGAGTTGCACCCAGAGGCTTCAACAGTCCTGCGGAGCATGGTCGAGAGCTACCCGGGATCGCTGTGCTGGTAATCATGATGACTAGACCGAAAAGCAGTCCAAAATGTCTTTAAAAAGGAGGACTTGAAGAGTGGGAAAAGAGAAGCTTACAGAAAGGAAAAAAAAAAAAAAAGTAAACATTTGAAAAGATAAATGAAGTTGAGTCAGCAATATTGGCAAACCCAAATCATGAATGTGGGAGACAGATCCAAATTAACGTTAAAAACCTAAAATGGAATGGGTAGGTTTCATTTGTTCATGCAAGAGAGGTCTACTGAGCTGCTACTCTGTGCCTAGAACTGTAACTGAGTGAACCACAGCGGTGAAGAAAAGTGAGGATACCGGCAAGCGCTATGCTGGGGGATGTGCACGAAGGGGGCACTGATGGAACAGCATGTGCAGAGGCTCAGAGGCAAGGAAAAAACCATGCTTCCTGGAGAAACACAGGTTCTGAAGGATGACAGACAGTGTGAGGGGCATGAGGCCCCGTGCGAGACAAGGCTGCAAAGACGAGCAGGGGCCAGACTACTCAGGGCTTTAGAAGGAACCTAAAAGGATCATTCTTGATCCTAAGAGCAATAGGAAGTCACAAAGATTTTAGACAAGGAGTGGCAATTAAATTTGTTGTAGAAACATCTGGCTGTGGGGGAAGGATGGACTGGGGAAGAGGCAAGACTGGATACCGAGCACCTAGTTAAGAAGCCTCTGTAATAACCCAGGAAGAGATGAGGTGGAAGAGATCTGGTGGAATGCACCAGATTCCAGCATCATGGTGGACGTCGATTAAAAGATGCCAGCATGGTACTCCAGAAGTCAGACATGTTTCCTGCTCCGATAAACCCTTTTTGCTTCGGTGCGGGAGGGAGTGGCTGGTGCCCAGCGACATAAGTCCACCGGCACACTCCTGGGCACTCCTTGCCATATATTTTGAGCTGCCTCAGATCTGAAAGCCCTATTGATGCCTTGGGATAAAGAGACAAGGGCAAGGACAAGCAAAGACCCTGCAGGTGACCAGGGAAGCTCATGTCTACAGAACCACTGCAGTCTGGCTCAGGGGAGCGCGCGGCACGGAGGGGGAGGGAGGCGAGGCGGAGCTGGTCCTGTGGGCACAAACCCCAGAACCCTACTGCAATTCCCACTAGGTCTGAATCTGAGCTCCCCCCCCCGCCCAGTTCTAGCCATGGAGCCTGGGGCAAGGTGCTTATCCTCATGAGGTCTGTTTGCTCCTCTATAAAGTGGAGGTGACAGCAACACATTTCTCAAGAGACAGGTGGAGACATTCAGTGCGATGCCTCACAGAGTAAGCATAAACACAGCGGTTACCATTACGCTATTCCAATCACTGGGCTTGAGAGCACTCAGTCATTGGGCTGGGGTGGGGGTGGGGCGTGCCTGGACGGGGCACAGAGAAGGGCACTGGACGGGAGAAAGGGATAAAACAAAGTGCAGGGATGAGGCATCCCTCTTCAGCGAGTAATAGCTTTATATCCAAGGCCCTTCCTCAGCTGGGGCAACCACAGTGAGAAGAATGTTTTGGTTCTAGATTGCCACCTTGGTAACTGGCCAAGTACCTTATGATACTAAAGCAACCTTCTGAATCCTGCAAATTTCAGTTAGTCAATCACCCATTTTTTTCACGGAGCAACTTGATATATTTCTTGACTAGACAACCATAAAGAACAGCTAAAGAATGCTAGACCTAGGTATTAGAGATTTGCACCAAACAAATCTCTCAAAAAACTCATAGACAGACAAAAATAAAGGCTAAAGGAGCTGAACTTGGCTACTTGATTCGGGGAGAAAACTAATGTCCACAGAGGGATAAAATCAACATCATGAAAAGCAAGGATATGACATTACAAAATACACCGAGTTAATCCCTTCCAATCTTATCAGTTACCTTAATGCAGATTTGCAGGATGTACACCGCACACGTGTTTTCTTATATAACCCAAGTCTTTGTGTCCCCAGGTGGCGTGCGAAATTGTAACGTAAATTAACCCCACTTTCATTAATACTCACACAGCAGAAATCCCCTAGAACAGGGCAAGTGAAAAGGTAGTTTTGTAGGGCTACAGGGATAATTTATGTAATTTTATGGTAATGAAACATTTACTAACAATTGGGATTACAAGGTTCCTGCTCTCTCTGCACTGTTTGCTGCTTTGTAAGAGCAGCTAAGATTTGGACAGCAAAAGGAGTTTTACTATAATCAATGTCCTAGATTCTACCACTGGAATTTCTTCTAATACCAGAAGCCTACTTTACGTTCTGCAATTATATACTTTGAAGGAGATCATTTAGCTACTTCTTTTGGTAGGACAGGATGGGGGAAAATGTCAGTACGGTTAGGTGATTATTACAGAGTACTGGGGTATCATTTTTCTAGAGTAACATCTAGAATTAGGTTATCCATTCAACAGCAAACAAAATTGTTCCCACGAGGGGACAAATCTGAGGACTAGGTGAGGCACTATTTATTGAAACTACTCTCATTTTGCAGATTAAAGGAAGACCCTATAAGTGGCCCAAACCTAAATATGCATTAAGATGCACTCCGTATTGCAGCTGGTCAGTGAGAGCTGATGGGTCCTGCCTGACCTAGGGCACCATTCTTTTACTCCTTACCCTGAATGTCCATCACCAAGTTCTTACTGATTTTGACTGCAGAATATAGGTCACAAGGCAGGCCTTTCTTCCCATCCTTGTTAACGTTGCCCTATTTCAGACCTCGCCATCCCTCACCCAGACTGCTGCCCAGCCTCTTCACAGAAACCGCCACTGTCTTCATTGTCTTCACACGTGCCCCTGAGATCCCACCAAAGCCAGACGGAGCTAGCTGACATCCTGATCCGACCACTTCCTGTCCCCCTGCAAACCCTTTAATGCCTCCCACCAAACATGGCCAGATGCCAAATGTGGCCGGCAGCTTGTTTTTGAATGGTCCACGAGCTAAGAATGGTTTCTACTCTTTTAAATAGTTGGAAAAAAAAGAAATCAAAAGAATAGTTAATGTCCTCTGAGGATTATCTGGAGTTTGAATGTGTGGCCATAAAGTTTTACTGGAAGACAGCCACAGCCATTTGCATGTCATCGAAGGCTGTTTTTGCATTTCAGTGGTGGAGTTCAGAAGTTTTGACCTTAGGGCTTGCAAAGTCTGAACTATTTACTTGTGGCTCTTAAAAAAAAAAAAAAAAAATCTGCCGGCCCCTGACCTACATGCTACATCTCAAGGCCTCTGAGGTCCTCCACAATCAGGACCCCTCCCATCCACACACACGGCCCACAGGCCCGCAGACCCCACCCCATGCTTTCCTTACTCCTCCTACCTGCTGCTTCTTCTCATCTTTGTAGGAAAGGCCTTTCTACAACGTTACTTTCATGCTCCTCATTCCTATTCATCTTCTAAAAGCCCTACTTAAAGTTTGAGAAACTGCTCCGGACTCACCAACCCCTCCCCAAACTGGGTTAGAGGCCCCCTGTCTCTATCCCCCCGAAACTGTACACATGGACGCTGCTTCTGTTCCCACGTTTGCTGCAGGCCCATGAGGGGAGACAAGAGGCTCAAACCCCTGACCTTGAGGAGCTCTTGGCTTTAGAAAGTAAGTAAATGCCAAGCCTAATTATGAACTGAGGACGCCATCAGGAGGGGGAACCTACCTCCAACAGGGAGGTCAGGGAAGGCCTTTGGAGTAGGTGTCGTGTAAGCTCAGGCCTGAAGGACACATGGGAACCAACCGGCAGAGGTGCAAATGCCCTGAGGTGAGAATGACTTGGCTGCTGGAACTGAATAAAAATGGCGTGGAGGGAAATGCCCAAGTGCAACTAACCATCCTAACACCGCGTGGTCCACCAGCCACAGGTGGGCCTCTAAATTTAGGTTAAAATTAATCAAAATAAGATTAAATCAGAAAGTGGGCTCCTGGATCACACTAGGCACGTTTCAAGTATTCCACGGCCACCTGTGGCCAGGGGCTCCCATGGTGACCAGCAGAGATAGAGCATTCCCAGCATCACAGAAAATTCTATTGGATAGCATCGATCATGTACTACAAACTCTCATCTCAGGATCTGAGCAAAGAAATGCAGGTACCTAAATGGTTCAATGAAGAAAATACATCTGGGCAGGACTCTGAAGCAGCTCCTTAGCAGTCTCATTGGTGTGACCTGCACTTGAAGTCCTTACAGTGACTTGAAAGGCTCTGTTCTCTATTCTACCCCCCAAGTATCTGCCAGCCCTCATTTCCCACACCTTCCCCCATTCAAGGAATAAGGGTTCTGGGAACATGCTTTGTGCCGTATGTTTCTTTGCATGCCACACTCTCCCTTAACACTAATCCATGCATCTCTCTCCTCCTTAATCTCTCCTGTCTGCTTAAATGTCACTCCTGGGGCACCGGGGTGGTTCAGTCGGTTAAGCATCCAACTCTTGGTTTCGGCTCAGGTCATGATCTGAGGGTCATGGAATCGAGCCTTGTGTCAGGCTCCGTGCTCAGTGGAGTCTCCCTCTGCCCATCCCTCCACACACTCAATCTTTCTCTAAATAAAAAAAAAAAGTCACCTCT